GTTCAGTGTGCTGCTCTATGGGTGTTTTTAGACATGTACTGTTCAGTGTGCTGCTCTCTGGGTGTTTTTAGACATGTACTGTTCAGTGTGCTGCTCTATGGGTGTTTTTAGACATGTACTGTTCAGTGTGCTGCTCTATGGGTGTTTTTAGACATGTACTGTTCAGTGTGCTGCTCTATGGGTGTTTTTAGACATGTACTGTTCAGTGTGCTGCTCTATGGGTGTTTTTAGACATGTACTGTTCAGTGTGCTGCTCTCTGGGTGTTTTTAGATATGTACTGTTCAGTGTGCTGCTCTATGGGTGTTTTTAGACATGTACTGTTCAGTGTGCTGCTCTATGGGTGTTTTTAGATATGTACTGTTCAGTGTGCTGCTCTATGGGTGTTTTTAGACATGTACTGTTCAGTGTGCTACTCAATGGGTGTTTTTAGACATGTACTGTTCAGTGTGCTGCTCAGATCTGTAGCACTTTGCAATAAGGAGAGTCCTATCTAGCAGGTGCGAACTGACCATGACTAAATAGGAAAATAACTGGACAAAGTTTATTTCTATACCTTAGAAATAATTTAATAACCCACACATTTAACCCCCTTTTTGTGTCAGCAATGCTTTCAGGCATTTAATCCATCTTTGGCCCTAAAGATTTTCAATATGTGCCTTTAACTGCTTGAAAAAGATAACTGTCAAGGCATTACTCAGAAAAAACTTTCATACCGAGTAGAACATGACGAACATGAAGCTGAGTGTTGTTATATATCATCAAATCATTAACAAACAAATGTTTTATGTGAACAAAACCTTTTCTTACTTAAAGAGCGAAGGAAGGTAAGATGTCTCCAAACTTCTGATGGGCAGTGGTCCTGTAAACCTGTTGGTATTTGGTTGAATGTGTGCATGTGCAATGCTAATGTAATGCATTTGTTTTGTTTGGATGGTGTCTACACATGCTGTATATGTGCTTATATAAATGAGCGATTGTGCCTGCATGTTTGTGCACTCGTGTGGACCCAAACACAACGGCAGTTATTTGAAAACTCCGTCAGTTTAATCTGGCTGGCGAACAAGTGAGCAGTGATGCGTTGCTCATTTTTTCTGACAACAAAAGCCTGTTGCCAAAAGACATTCACATGCCCATAGCTATCTTCCTCCCTCACACCCCTCCATCTCTGGACTTTATATAGATCCAGCCCAGCTGAAAACACATAACCTCTTTTGATCTGCTGATTGCATAAATCTAAACGTCACGCTCCAAGGAAAACAGACATGACTCCATGAGCCCAGAAATTTCCATGACCCTGTGTAATGATGATATTCGCCTAAAATCAAAGCACCAAATGGAGAGTCAATGCGGTGTGAAAATGGAATAAAGGCAGGTTGTCTGAGTAAATTACTCAGCGGTGGGCGCATAGAGGCGGCGGCTGAAACAGCCAGACGTTCTTAGGCGCACACTCACTGCAGACTGACACATCCGCAGACACACACATCAAAAGATCACCAAAAATATCAGGAGGAAATTTATTTAAAACAGATTGATGTGGCAGACAAAACCAAAGAGCAGCTAATCCTGACGAACAGTGTCACTGTGGGGGAGCCATGTGAGGCAGGCAGCTCACAGAGGCCGGGCAGGCCTCGCAGTGCCAGGGCCCATCTGGAGCTGCCTGCTGAGTCTGTGGGGGGCTAATAGGCATATCTAAGCAGATTGATGTGAGTGTGACACCAGCAGGATGTGTGTGTACATGCTCTTCTCCACCTACACATATACAGCGCACAGTACAGCAGCAGCCTCTAACTGCACAATACAGCACCTTCATCACAGCAGTCTGACAGAGACACAGACATCAACAGAAGATGATATCAAACAGCGAGGAGAGATGAGGGTGCCACAAGTGAGAAAGAGAGGGAGACTGAAAGCAGAGATGGTGGTGGAATGACAGAGGAAGAGCTGGAGCCAGTGACAGTGTGGAGGAAATGAGAATTTTTTGGAGACTGTAGTGAAATATATAGCTGAGACACATCAGAAACATCAGAAACATTCACAACAGTGAGGCTGTCGACTTCAGCATTGAGAGAAATGATCTATCCATGCTCCGCCCACAAATGTGCTGGGTCTAGGGAGACTTAATGACAATGGACTTATATTGGAATCATTTTCAATATTGCTTAAAAAATATAAACATCAGACAAATGTCAATATTTGATATTTCAGACCGATATTTGCAACCGTCTAAGCCTTGGCCCTATCATCAGAAGATCGCCAGTTCGATCCCTGGTGATGCTACAGTCATCGTCTTCTCCCATCTCTCAGCGCAATGCTAGTCAGCACAGGCGTCTGTTAGCTGATATAACAGAACTTGCGGTTGGCACTTTACCCCAAGCGTGTTCAGCTGTTCACTGATGTTGCGTCAGCGGCAGCTCGAAAAGACGCGGTGCCTGGCTTTGCAGGTCTCGGAGGAAGCCTGTGCTAGCGTTCTCCCTCCTAGCGCTGGTGGTATCATGTGATTGGGGGAGTCCTAACTAGTGGGTGGAATTGGAAACGACTAAATAGGGAGAAAAATGGGGAAAAAAAAAAAAACTTTACTGCATTTGTAATCCTATGCTTACTCAGGTAGATGTAGTCTAATTTCTAGAGTTTATAAATGCGTATGTATCAGATTCATCAGATATGTCTATAAAAAATATCAGATATTGCAAATGGCCCACAATTCCCATATTGTGGCGCACAATTTTTGTCCAAATACCCACATTTAGAGTGGGTTGTTAATTTCAAATGATATTCATTTAATATGAATGTGAAAAGTTAATACAGTTAGTACACTACATACGTACTACATTATGATAGTACACTACATTATGATGCTTGGTGGCCAACGGCAAACTGGATATTCCATTGTTTTCAATATAGCTGTGACAGAAATTCTGCAATTGCAGTGTCATTGGTAGTGTACTGCAGTGGTCAGTGGAATACTGAGTTCAATTTTCCCAACTTTTCTCATCAACCAGGTGGAATAAACCAGATAGGTTTTTGGGGAGCCATTGAGGCCAAATGACTTGTCGAAGTCCAGGAGTGCTCAGTATTATACAACACAGAACGTACAGATCATCCTCCTGCCTTAAATAAACAATCAACACTGCTGAAGCTCTCTTCTCATAATCATCCATTTTTGCTCGTGATGCTGTCACCTTGGCAACGTTTCCATGGCTGCCTACTGCCATCAGTCGCATACCATGATGAGGCACAGAACAATTTTTTTAGGGATAAATCTGACTGACAGCCTAAGCAGAAAGTTCATCAGCCTCAGCTGTTTTAATGCTGCTAGCTAGCCGTTGCCTACACCACTATCCAATTTAGCATCACCTAAGTTACTCTAGAAAATTTGCAGGCAAAATGTTCTCAGTCTTACTTGCCGTATGGTCCAACATTACAATAAAAACAGAAAGCATGGCATATTGCCCCAAGCTTTATCTAGGTGACAGCGGTAGAGAGAGAGACATAGAGGAGGTGATCCCAATGAAAAAACGATAAGCTAACCTAAGACTCTTTAAAGTTAGGACAGGTGTCGGCAGAATGTACCACTGCACCACTTAAGGTGGAACAGGAAAATTTGAATGAGAAGCTGGCAAACGAGAAGCTGACTACAGCTTTGCGACTTTTTAGTGTGACAGTTTCTCGCTGCAGATTAAATGAGGAAATCAGGAAACCAGCTGGAGTGATTATAAATGCAAATAAGTCCATTTGTCTCCAAATTATTGATGTTAGTCCTAAATCTTTCTCTTTGCCTTTTCATTGGCTACTAGATAGGCGAGATTGTTATATGCGTTGCTATGGTGAGCAGCAGTCTGTGCGCCAAGCTTCAGGGTTAGAGGTTGGTGAATTAGCAGTTATACATTTACTCCAGCATTCAAGACCATTTACTGTTAAAACTGTGTTGAACGATCAGCAGAGCTTTATTTTACTGCAAAGGAATATATTTTATTTTTTACCTAAACATCTAACTCTGCTGTGGAGCCGCAACAGGGCAGTAAAGAGACGTATGTTGCCGATCCCTGACAGAAACCCCTCAAATTCTCAGCTTCTAACTTTATAAATTCACTGATACCCACATTTGACCTTTCTTTTATTCGAAAAAGTGAAGCAGTCAGAGAGACACTCAGAGCGCAGTCAGGTTGAGTTCTGTGATGAGCTGACAGAACAAAAAGTCTCCTGTAGCATAATCTCCAAGATGAGATCAAGGAGTACATGAATCACGGCTAAAGCATGTTCGCGTCAACTAAGTGAGAGTGACGCTCTGATGGCTTGGCTCATTTCTCACAAGTGGTCCTATCTGTGTTATTTTGTCTGTGTACAGTGTGCACATGACAACAAAATTTCACATGAATCAATACATCACCACACACAGTCTAAGCACATCACTTAGTAAGTGTACTAAAAAGAACAGTGGAAAAACAAATCTGACGTAACTAAAGTATCTAATGTTTATTGTCCAAAGCGTGTAGGCAAAATTGTATTAGACTAGATTTCTCGTATCCAAAAACTGTGGAGAAAAATTGTTTTTTTTTTGGGTAGAGGGGTTTTGGAGTGACTGAGAGAGAGGGCTGTAGCCAGTGATAGTGTAGAGGAAATGAGAGTTTATAGGGGACGGCAGCAAAATATAGAGCTGAGACACATCAGAAACATCAAAAACATTCTTAACAGTGAGGTAGTGGACTCTGGCATTGAGAGAACTGATCTATCCATGCTTTACCCACAAGTGCATTGTTTATTTCCAGGCAACCGTTGCACATCCTTACTATGTAAAGCCTGTTTTTCAGTAGGCTGAAAAGGATCTTTGCCAACACTCTTAAAGGTTTGTCCCACTGTGCAACAGTTACTATGAATGAACATATTTGTGGGTGGAACATGGACATTAGCATGGGACTCAGCATGGGAAGAGAGAAAACAAAGAGAGGCGAAAAGAAGAAATGAGGGTTTTTAGGAAGAGGGATGTTGAGAGAAACTGTACCTTCAGTCCTCCAGACTCGGCTGCAGAGCCTCGGTCCACTCCAGTAATGTAAATCCCCAGGGCATACTCAGCCCCGCCCCGGATCATCAAACCCAGAGAACGTCCATCATCCAGAACCAGATTCACCTGCAACACAACACGACACTGTTGTGTTATATACACAATCATTTTCTCTCTGTGTTTCAATCTGCAATACCATTCAAAAGTTCATCGCTCATCATATTAATACCCTAATTGTTGCTATTTTATTCAATAATAACTTGTACAGTGTAGATTGACTGCAATGGATTGGCTACTTGTCCAGGGTGTATCTTGCCTTTCGCCCGACGACTGCTGAGATAGGCTCCAGCACCCCCCGTGACCCAGCAGGATAAGCGGTTTAGAGAATGTGTGTGTGTGTAGCTAGAAATAAAAACTACACTGTAAAATTACAGTAACTTGGGGCTCCCACAGTGGTATCATGTGATTGGGGAATCCTAACTAGTGGGTGGAATGGATATATCCAAATGGGGGAGAAAACTGGGGAAAAAACTTACAGTAAATTACTGGCTTGTTGCATTACTTTCACAGTCATTTACTGAACCATTTTAGTAAACAATCATGAAACAAGTAAATAATAAATACTCATTAAACAGCAACATGTGAAACAGACTCCACAGTCATCTAGACTGCAAGATTACTGTGATGCAACTGTACTCTGCAGTACACTTACAGTAATAAGCTAATTATTAAATACAGTAATGGCTGTAAGCTGTAATTAAATACAGTAATGTTCTGTATTTTTACATAACAACCGTAAAAGTAATGCAACTCACACACACATACACACACATTTTCTAAGCTGCTTATCCTTCTGGGTTGTGGGGGGGAGCTTGAGCCTATCTCAGCAGTCACTGGGCAGAATGCAGGAAACACCCTGGACAGATCGCCAGTCCATCGCAGGGCAGAAATGCAACTCAGTAGCCAGTAATTTACTGTTTGAAGACCAATCTCAATGAAAATGTTTATGTTTTACAATGTAAATTCATAGAATATCTCTAATGAGCATTTTTAAAATGCAAATACACAACTTTAAATGTGTTTTAAACATCAAAACCTGAATCATCAGATGAAAAACACTTAAAATGTAAAGAAATGTTCTGCTCAGTTGCTGTCATATCACATAATGCTGTATGGTGAAAGCTCAGCATCAACCTCACAGTAATCTTGGCAATTAATTACTGAATATTATTACAGCTTCCTACAAATTAAATGACATTGTAGAGTACTACCATCATGTTACAATCATTTTATACATTTTATACAACAATCCTGATTTTATGATAGAGAAAACAGTGATTCCAAACCTCTGAATGGTAAAGTTTATCTCTCTCTGTCTCACACATACACAGATGGTCAGGTAAACTTGCTTGTGAAGGGTGTACTTTTAGGGAACACTACCTGAGTTATTATTCTGATAGAGCTGCATGAAAAGCCTTGAAAAGGTTGTGGTGTAAGAAAAGGCTTCAGGTCTTGCTCAGTCATATTCAACAAACCACTCACCAACAAGCACAATGACCCCCTTACTGAACATTCAGCGAAAAAACACAAATAAACTGTCAACTTGCAGCCGAGACCTCAGCTGTTACAGCCATTACTGAATTGGTTTCTAGATTGTCAGTTTCTGAGCAAACAGAATGGGAAAGCAGTGTAAAAACAGGGTAGCCTCACTGCGCTGCACAGTTCTGTCAGCGAGCTGGTTTAGCATTCAGAGAAAAAACAACCCCAGGCCTGCCTGCTACATGTATTTTGAACGTGAATTGTGAGGAACAATCACTGTTATAGCTGCTTCAAGTGAGCAAGGTAATAACATTTAAAGTCCCCATAAATACTGTATACTGAATAAAGAGAGATGGACACTAGTGAAAATGCTTTTATTTTGCATTCCTTTCTAATTTAACATCAATTTAACATTATTACAAATTATATTATCAGCAGAACAAGTAGTGTGAAAAGCTGAATCTTTGAAATTTCACACAAATGTCAGAATTTCTTGGTATTGATTTAATAACAGTTTGACTCTGATCAATAACAGTGACAAAAGTCTTTGATGAGTAGATCAATTCAACCTGAGAGTCGTCTGAAAATGGGCTTCACTGGAAGAATCTGACCTTTTCTAACAAAGGCCTCAACATGGTCAGTCTCACAAATTTACAGAAATTTCAGTGGCAAGTGCAGAATTTTAAATATCTCTTCTTTATTTCATGTCATGACTTCTCTTTGTCAAAATTCTGAAACTTTCTGTTCTTCATTTGCAGGATTAAATGAAAAAATCCCTGTTTTTTTAATGTGTTCAGACCTACAGACTGTAGGCTTGCCACTATTAGGGATAAGTAGGGCACAACGTAATGCAGGGTAAATTACAGCATGGATATTTTATATAGTTTCAAAGTTTTACAGTTTAAGAAGTAGTGCTTTGGGTGTTGTCTTGTACTTCCATAACAACACAACGTGAAAATTTCAACAACATTCAGACAGATATTTCTTTAGATTTCACCCTGAAGACTATTTTAGCACCAAAAACATAACTTAGTATTTTTAAATTACTGAGTTGTGTAAGCTACAGACTTCACCTCTATGTACTTTTCATCACCCTCTTGCTGGCTATAATAAAGCAGTTTTGAAGCATATAAACTCACAGACAGAGTTACCCATGCTACAGCCTCCATATAGCATGGTTGGTTTAAACATTAAGAACAAATAAGACCCCTAAAGAAAATAATGAGAGACTTCCATTTACTCCCATATAAATAGTAAAAAAAAATAAAAACAAAAAACATACAATGTAAAGGACGACATTTTCAAATTACATCAAAAACTGAAAAATTATGCAATGAAATATATAAATATATACACACACCGATCAGGCATAACATTATGACCACCTCCTTGTTTCTACACTCATTGTCCATTTTATCAGCTCCACTTACTATATAGGTGCACTTTGTAGTTCTACAGTTACAGACTGTAGTCCATCTGTTTCTCTGCATACTTTGTTAGCTCCCTTTTACACTGTTCTTCAGTGGTCCCCAGTGGATCCTCACAGAGCAGGTACTATTTGGGTGGTGGATCATTCTCAGCACTGCAGTAACACTGATGTGGTGGTGGTGTGTTAGTGTGTGTTGCACTGGTCTGAGTGGATCAGACACAGCAGTGCTGCTGGAGTTTTTAAACACCTCAGTGTCGGTGCTGGACTGAGAATAGTCCACTAACCAAAAATATCCAACCAACAGCATCCTGTGGGCAGCTTCCTGTGACCACTGATAAAGGACTAGAGGATGACCAACACAAACTGTGCAGCAGCAGATGAGCTATCGTCTCTGACTTTACATCTACAAGGTGGACTGACAAGGTAGGAGTGTCTAATAGAGTGGACAGTGAGTGGACACAGTGTTTAAAAACTCCAGCAGCTGTGTGTGTGTGTGTGTGTGTGTGTGTGTGTGTGTGTAAATGTTATCAAAAACACACTATAGATGTCATTTAGGTAAAATATATTAAATTCATTTTCATTTTTGAATTTGGAGTTTGTAGTCAAAAATAAATTTGGCAGTGTTTCACACAGCCTCTTTCCACTAATTATATATTAATTAAGATGCACAAAAATTATATGTATTCATGTTGGAAAGTTTGTCTGGTTCAAACAACACAGAATTGTACTGGATTAAATGTGTTTTGCATCAATTCACCAGACATTTTAGGAGCAAACAGACTGCTTCAACGAACCCTGCTTTTGGAGTAAGCTGTAACATTTGCATTTGCGCTGCTTTCAGCTGAATAGTTCATAGCGCTGAAACAAACTAACATGTTTAGTTGTAGTAAAGATGTGTGGGTTGTTTGTATAAAAATGATTTTAAATGATTAATGTGTTAGGCTGTGTCTACCTCTCCTCTTCTTGACTGCACTCAATTACTTGATTAACTTTTTAAAGTAAAAATAAAATCAGTAGTATGCATGAAGATTACTTATTTTTCCACAACTGCTCTCTTTCTTTAGGTAAGAAACAGACACTGATGGACAATTTTTCATGCAATTTCTGCCAGACTTTTTTATCGATGCTGTCCAAAAAAAAACAAACAAACAAACAAACAAAAAAAGCATCTCCAAATTATTTTTGAACATCATTTGAACACAGCAACATTTGTCATTTACAGCGTGTGAAAATGTACGATGAATGGACCAATAGAAACGTTCCAAAACTACTGAATAAACAATTTTACATTAACTTACATTACAACTTCAGTATGTTTTTGCCTTCTCCTGAACAGCTACCATTTCGGAGATCCATGTTGATTATAACTGATTAGTAATATAATTGATAGTGACAGCCCCAATATACAGGGCACAGTGGGAAGACAACCAATGACCTCCTTCATTCCCTCTATAGAAAAGTTAACAAGACTCAGCACTGCCAGCCCACCAAAGCATCCACTCAGAGCCAATCACTGATGTCTGCCCTCTTCTCTTCAATGTGGGGTCACTGGAACGGAGGTTCATGGATCGATGCAATCCAGTGCACTGCCTGAAGCCTATAGCTTTCACCATCAAGCACCAGCAAACTGAGCAGTGAGCCTAACACCCGCTAGCTCTCTGCTAAAGGTTAGCGCTAGCCATCCCTGAAAGGTCAGTTTGGAAGAAGCCAAACTGCATTATGTGGTGTGTCATCGTTTGTAATGCCATACATTTATAAAAGTCTCCACTGTGAATTATGGTTTGGGATTTCTGAGGAAGGAGGTATTAGCTAAATGGATTTCAACATCCAGCGGTGCTCTCGGCGTTTACTGGAACTGTCGTTGCATATCTGGGAATTTGTCAGATTTACCTTACAAATGGCTTTTCTCAGACATGTAGGTGAGCAAACGGAACGGTAAATCAGAGGGGAAACTGGGCGTTTTTTCGCTGTGCTACACAGTCCTACTGGAGCCAGACAGCTACACTGGGCTCTAGTCCTGCCCTCTAACGCATCGACGTTCCACTGGGCTGTGTGGGCGCTCTCCAGCCACTGACAGATTTACATCTGGATGAGCGAGTCATAAAACTCTCCCTATAATCATATTTAGCAGATTCTGGCACTCAAACGGAGACGGAGGCAAAACAGGGTGAGATGATAAACAGCTGAATGTCAGATTTAGAAGACAGATGAATAAATAGTGAGCCAAGACAGGAGCTGAGGCTATGAAATGGGAAAGAAAGTGGTGGGGGTAATAGGGTAGGATGGAGTTTCCAATAATTCTTAGTCCTAGTCTAACCTAAAGGTTAAAGCTGCAATATGAAATCACTGCATGTTTCCTTTGGAAATGTATTAGTGTGTTAGTAAACCTGGAGAGGGTTTCACTGCACTTCCTGGCAGGGTCTGTGTTTACAGAATATAAAATGAGAATAAAATGTGTTTATATAGCACCTTTTATACATAGAAATGAAGCTCAAATTGCTTCACAAATAAAGCACAACTGAAGCGAACAGAACAAGCACTAATAAAAGAACAATAGAAAAGAAAAAGGCAAAAACTAACTGAAGGCTAAAGTGAATAAAGGAGTTTTGAGAGTTTTTTTCAGTCAACAGAAGGTGTCTTCTAGATATGAGTAGGCAAAGAACTCTTCAGTGGGCAAGAAAATCTTTAAAGCATAAAAACAGAAAGCTGTTCCATCACTTTGCTTGAGCTTTACTCATGGAATTCCAGCAAGGGTTTGATGACTCTATGGTCCAGTTTGGAACACAATCTATCAGAAACTGCAAACATATGAAGGTGCCAAATGTTTGGAGCTTTGAAAAATAACAGAATGACTTTAAAACCAATTCCAGAAGAAAGAGGAAACCAGTGCAATGATGCAGAAACATCACACATCAAAGCACCATGAATCAAAAAATGTCAACAAATTTAGTGATATAAAGCAAAAGCTGTGAAAGTGACCAGCATGTTGTTCATACACTGTAGTAAATGACTTGGGTTTTAGGATATAATTATAACTATAAGATTAATATAATACTATAATATTATAACTATAATATATATAATTATATAAAGTCATGAGCAAATTTTTACAAAAATCAGATATTTTTTGCGATTCACCATGAAGACCATTTTTGTACCATGAAAGAAACTTTTGCAACTGGCATGTTTTTCAGTCATTGAGTTCTTTGTGTCACAAAATTCATCTCCAATCACCTCCTTGATAATTTTGAAGCACAAAACCAACTCACAGTGAGCACTAGCTAGGCTAAATTCCAGCCTACAACTAAGCCTCCAAAAGAAAACAATGAAAACAATCTAAATCCTCCTCATATAAATTCAAAAACAATAAAATTTCCAATTTTTATTTATGGATTCATTAAATATAGTCAAGTCCATACATATCTGGAGGTCAACAAAGTTACTGTCGTTATAGCTGTCTACCACAGTATATTGAGGTTGAATGAAATAAAATTAAATAAAAGTAAACAACAGGGGCTCAAAAGTAATTGGACTAATATAATCACTCTAACTTAAATTTTCAATACTTGCTTACAAATCCTTACAGGCCATGCCATAACACTACCTCCACCATGTTTCACAGATGAGGTGGTTTGCTTTGGATCAGGAGCAGTTCCTTCCGTTTTTTCTTTTCTATGTCTGGAAATGTATGAAAATGTATGAAATGTATGAAATTCCTACACCGTTCACCTTATTTGGATGTCAATACCCTGCTTTTATTATATTAAAGCTCTGCAATTAAAGTCTGCACTTTTAGCTGCACTTATTATTAATTAATTAATTTAACTCCAATATGCTGTTGTAGTCAGCTAAAATAATTTAGGAACCTGACTGTACGTATTACACATTATGCCTCTTTTTTTTACTTACTATTTATTTTGATGCAAATATTTTTATTATAATTTTATTATGTATTCAGGGTGGAAAGCTCATGTGTTTCAAACAACTGTATTGAATTAATTGCATCATTTTACTAGACACTCCAGCGACTGTTAAAACCAGCCCCTCAGTCTGTTACAATTAACCCTGCCTATGATTGAAGTTTGAACATCTGCACTCAGGTCACTTTTGGCTGAATTGCTCTGTAACTGTAGATGCTTAAAACAAACAATTCATTATTTGTTTACATACAGTTACATATCAATTTTGTTCACATTTTTAAAATAATTCGGCAAAAAACTAAATTAAGTGGTGCCCTTCACTCCCCCTTTAATACTGGACTGCATGGCACTCTCAGTAGGGATTCTCCAGTATCAGTGTAGGACACTAAAGCCTGGTCTCTTGTAAAATTCACCTCAACAGAATAAAAAGTGATTGCACACAGTACTGCTTTGTTCCAGTCTGCTGAAGGCTCAGTAATTGCGGAGCAGGTACAAGAGTTGGAGGCTTTGTATTAGTTCACAAACATTTAAGCCTCAACACAATAATCCCAACTCAGTAATCCTCCCCTCGATATGTTCGGAACAAAAACAGAGCAAGGGGACATGCCATTACATCATTACACTGAAAACTACCACACGTTTTTGTCATTGTAACACAGACAGCTTAACTCGCTCTGGCTGCTAACAGATAGCTCACTCCCTCGAGTTCATTTATTTTAGGCCTAGAAAGAAGCGCCGTCCATTCATCACTGCTGATCATCGCAGATAGAGTTCAGTACAGAAATTCCTGTTTCATACAGTGGATAAAGGATGAACTAAAGGAGAGTGAATGGGCCAGTGGTTCCCTCATGTCAGAGAGACTGTGATCAACTGGCTGCTGGAGACAGACGCATCAGAGGTTGGCACAGTGGAGGCTTGCTATGGAGAGATAACAGTAATGACTACTTTAAATAAGAGACAGGCCTCATTCGTCATTTACAGCTCGACTAGACGAGCGCTACCCATCTACATAATTACATACTGTAATTACATACTGGTCATATTGATCTCTGCTGAAGTTTTTGAATGGCTCCTGGTTAAAATAGCACAATAATAGAGAAGTAAACGTTTACACAGAGTTAAGTGAGGAGTACAGAATGTCTGTCATGCACTGTTAAAAATAATGGACTGACTAATAAATGGTCTGCAATTAATGCCGACTCTAATTACAATGTTTGAATCTGCATAATTCTGAATTCTTTACTGTTTGGTCTGGCTTTGGTGTCTTTTGTAATGCAAATCACTGGCTGAATAGATAGATGTTAACCTATGAGGCATCAAAGCTGGGCAAGAATAAAAACTATTTACAAACAGCCAGACGGTCCTACAGACATACACAGGCTACAGAAGCTAATTTAATGATTGTACCCAATTTAAAATATTATTAAAACAATAACTAAACAACAATCAAATGAAAATGAACAAATGTACATAGTTACATAGACACCACCTCTTTATAGAGCCCATATTTGACAATTTCCTGTATTTTATTTTTTCTCCCATGTTAAGCGGCTTTAAAGGGACATTCTGGCTAAAATGAAAAACGTAACTATGGCTACATCTGCTGTAAATATGCTTACTCGCCTCGTACAGTGGTTCTGCAGTAATCCCTAGAGTGGGATTTTCCAGTTTAAAGACTAGGGAACCCTCTTTCTGATGATGTCTCTTGAAGGTTAAAGTTAACAAGGTAGCTAACTGGCTGTCTGGATACCTTACCTCAGCTTGGCTCCTTTTCATTGGCTAAAAGGGGTAAAAACTGTTTTCTTTAGAAATTTATTTGACAGCCGAAGCAAGAGTTACAGCTGGCTTGGTTGTACTGTATTGGATAGTGGCTAGGCTAGCAGTCAGGATTGGTTGACACCAGGGTATTCCCAATGGTTGTGTGACATATTTGCATAATGCATGCTGGGTATTGTAGTGAGAGAACACTGCTGAACAAAATCATGACAAAGATATAAAATCAAACCAAGACTGCTGAGGGATGCAATGCTGCACTGCAGAATTGAATGGCAAACAACATATTAATCTTAAGTTTTAGGCCAGAATGCCTTTTAAGGCTGCTATATGAAAAATAACCTCTGTTCGAATTGGTTGACCATAGGTCACTTCACAAGTGAAATGAAGCACAACATGTTCAAATACAGTCTGGGCTGAAATGCACAGAAAAAACTGTTAAATCTGAACAAAAACCTTCAGAGAAAAATCAGCTTTAGAAGAAGAATCAGAGAGGTGAATCCTTTAGAAGGCTGCAAGCATACAATTGCTTCCCAACAGCCCCAAACAGCAACATCCTTGATTGTTTCCCTGACATCTTCCTCTCCAATAACTCTTGAGCAGACTGTCTGCAGTAACTGTTTATGGGCAGGCTAAACTGCTGTAGCTAAACAGGCAGCCATATGTAAATGAGTTGAATTCAAAATAGGCTGGTTTTGCAGCTTTAGTGTTTTTATAACAGTGATTTACTCACTGCTTTGATTGTTATTTGTCAACTGTGTACTGTAAAATATAACTGTCATGTTCTCAATGGTCACCTTTCTTAAACTCAAATAAACAGGAGAAATTCAGAGTCTTAATATAAATACTGTAGCGCTCCCAAGTGGCACAATTAATTAGCCCTACCATCGCTACCAAAAAAGTCCTTAATTATCGCAGATGGTCCTGATAAAAACATGGGTCATCACCATCAGCCAATATTAACTGATATATTAGTCTGGCTCTTGTATGGACCAGGGATCAGAGATATTTACATAGCATATCAGACTCATTTATTTAAATAAGCAAGATGACATGGGCCTTTTAAGTCTATGCTGAAATGCTGCCCTTGCCTCACCTTCTTCTCGTCACCCTCCTGCAGCAGCTGCATGTGGCTGCGGCGCTGGCTGTCGCTCCGTCGCAGAGTGGCACTACGGTGCTCCATCAGGTCTGGAGGAGGAGACACGCTGCGGCCCTGGGGGTCCACCCAGGTGTAGACGTGATTTGTGACATATCCGCCCGGTATGCGCCCAACAGAGCGCACAGACATGGACAGCTTCTTGTTGCCCTTCAGCACCTGAGAGAAGAAAGGAAGATGCTCAGGTCAGCTTGATGTGGCAGGAAGGTAACAGTTCCTCATTCAGATATAGAGGCTTTTAAAACAAAATTAGATTTCTGAATTCAGGGAATCTGCTGACACCAAGGACAGACCCAATAGCAGTGCTCGGTTAACTTGTGTTTCATAGTAGCAAATTATCATATACAGTAAGTTGGACACTATATTGTCTCTTCTTCCAACTCTCTGACTAGCAGGTAGGTCATAACAACATAATATAATAACAATACAATAATAACAATATAAAGGATTGTATGTATGTGTGCAATAGCATTAATGTGTAATGTTCATGTCTAAAATCATTTTTATATTTTTTTGTTGGATTTTTACCCAATTTTCTCCCCAGTATAGGCAAGGCCAATTCCACTCACTAGCTAAATTTCCCTCTATTCCATGATGATATCAAGCTGGGTAGTTGGCCAGCATGTGCTTCCTCTGTGTCATGTGAAACCAGCAACCACATCTGTTCGATCTAATGCATCATCACTAAACAGCTCAACATGCTTGGAGGAGAACACTAACTTCTACTTCTGATATGTCAGCTAACAAATACACATGATGGCTCACAACACATCCATGTTGGCTGCCACTGTGGAGGAAGAAGGCCATCCTCCTCATCCAGAGGGAGCAAGGCCAATTACGCTGTCTTTGTCTCCTGGCCCCAGTGGCCGTGCCATCGGTGTGGATTTACACTCCCCTGACAATAGGGCCAATGCTCGGACGGCTGTGCCACTCGGGAGCCCAAGAGAGATTTTTCTTTTCTTTTAACTGTAAATGTGAACAAAACTATCCATACAGTTCAGGCCTGCACAGAAATACAGTTCATTCTTTGGGAGATTTTTTGTTTTGTAATTTTCATATTTCTTATTATTTGATGAGATTAGATAGAAAACAATCCACTTGTTTTCAAGTTAAAAAAGTTTTCAAGTTAAAAAAGTTATTAAAAGATATAGAGAAATGAGACTCCAAACAACTGTGATAGACCAACAAAACCGTCACCTTCAGATAAACAGCACTTAAAGCTTAAGATCTGAAAAAATCCACAGGTGTTTCTGTCCATCGTTCCGCTGTGAGAAGACAAGTCAACACTATGAGTCTGAAAGGATGTGTAGCTGCCAAGAAGGCATTATGAAAAAGGAAATAGACAAGAAAGGATGAAAATTTGTTCTCAGAACAATTGACTGTCCAATCTAGTGTTCAGGTCTTAACATCACTGATAGCGTGGAGGTGTGGAAAAATATTCCTGCAGATTTTTTTTTTTGAAAAAGTGAGAGCAATTGTTGAGGCTTCTGTGTAATTTTCTGTTAAATACATGTTTTCTGCATTTTTCCTGATGCTGAAAAACGAATGACAATTATTTTTTTGATTGGAAATTAAACAAATGAGGTGTGGTCTCTGACTTCTGCACAGTACTGTATATTTTCAGAACCCTAACCCTGTGTAAACAGATACAAACATAAATATACAGTAGGCTAATTGCACTAATAATAGAATAATTGCATTCTAATAACAGAAATGGCCAAACACCAACATTGTTTTTAAGATAATCTCTCTGTCACACACACACTCACATACACACTCTGCTCACAGATGTAGTCTCCTCACAGGCTGGCTGATTGAGGGGCACACTGATGAACTGAAAGCTTCTCAAGGCTGCGGCTCATTGGCCTCTGATAGCCTGCAATGGCTGCTATCACTTTGCAGATCAAATGTAGTCCGCACTCTCACTGCGTGATGCTACCGCTCCAGCAGAGTGTGAAATGATTCCGGACTGAACTAATACACACACGCACATACACACATATCCCATGGTGCTGTTATACACACTGATGGTACCAATCCCACTGGAGTTCTCTGACCACCAGGCTCAGCTCGCACCACTCAACATCAGTGCTAAACAGTAACTATTATGTGCTTTAGATTCTATTTTTTTCTTGCTTTCTTTTTTTTTATAGTGCTATCTTTCTCTCTTTATTTCTTTTCTTTTTAAATATCCATTTTCCAGGCCTGTGCTTTTAGATTATATTTAATTATTGTTGGGTAAATGGTAAATAATGTAAATATATGAATAAATAACTCATTAATTTGTCAATAAAGTCATTCAGAGTGGTTTGATGTCAAAGGAGATTATGTCTGAAGCCTTTTAATGCCTCTAAGTTGTTTTCATGAAATGTTTATGAATATACAGCATGATATATATCGTTGCTGTCGGAACAAAACTTCACATCTCCTTTTCGGTTTTTGACATAATTTGAAAATGCCTGTTGATCTTTACATTGTGCGAAAATTTCATGATGAATAGACCAATGGAAACGGCCCAAAAAAGTCTGGTTCTATTAACTTACATTAAAAGTAAAGTATGTTTTTCGCTTCTCCTGTAAAGTTACCTTTTTGGAGATGCAAGGTTTTGTTCTGACAGCAGTGATATAGATACATGATTTTGAGAAGGCTCTGATCTAAACATCAGAATGTTTAGGCAGGGATAGTCAGGGATACATATATGTATATATATATATATATATATATATATATATATATATATATATATATAGGCACCAACAACAGTATTTAGCCTGGGTAACCCTCTTTCCTTTCCCACACTACTTCTTAAGGATGCACTTAGATGCCTAGCTTTTGTCATTTGCAGTGGTTTCCATGAAAGATGGAAAACTGGAGGCCCTCTGAAGACACTGGGTGGTGTATCCTCAACACAGTTTCAAAGTTCCAATGTTCATTTTAATAAATTATTATATTTATAAAATGATTACATCTGCTGCTCGCAGGGCTAATTGTACACGCTCAGATCATTTCATATCAGTCATTAACACACGCTCGCACTGTTGATCTAATCAGCGAACTGAGATCAAACGCTGAATGCAGAAAACAAACAAACAAATATGCCAGTGTACAAAATGAATGCTGTTTAGTTCTGAAAGTGCTGCAGTTTTCTCTCTCATATATCATACAATAAAAGAGAATCAAATAAAGTCTATGCAGAACTTCACTATGCCTAAAAAAGGCATCATAGCGCTGATCTAACACACTTCCTGACTCCAGCAGCACCAGGTTGCTCCTTTTCCACAGCTGCCTTTGCAGTGGTAAGCAGCAGCTACACAGATTGTTTTCATGGTGCTATAGAGCTGGAAAATGTAAAGCTTAAAGAAATGAAAGGGTCGTATGACTAGAATGAACAAAAGAGCTGGAGAGTATATGTGTTCGAAGGTGAGCGGTAGAGAGAGAGAGAGAGAGAGAGAGAGAAACATTCAGTGCCCCTGCAGTGAACGGTGATAAATAAAAGGCAGCGTGGCAGCAATGAACTTAATGTGCGTCTGTACTCTAAAGCGCTGACTGGGACATTGCCTGATAGAGTGTGTCAACAAACGGCATAGGGGAGAACAATAGGGTGGGGGAAGAACGTGCACAGTGCATCATTACGGGGGGAAAACAGTGCTTGGGGAAAACTGCATTAAGAACAGCAGCATTAGGCTACATGAGGAGAAAAAGACACTGGACTGAAAGCTACTGGCTCTGCTGTCTGATAGTGGTAAACATACTGAATGCTAACTGCTCATAACTAACTGATCAATCCACATTCCACCCACAAATGCTTTCTTTTGTACCAACTGTTTCAGAGTTGGACACATTTTACAAAACATAGGCGTAAAATCCATTTAATCTAATGAATTTAGGTTTTAGATTTGTTGTAATGTTGAATTCCTGTCTAAAATGCTGTGCAATGAGGTGACCTTTGCTTTTGACGCTAATAGAAATTAAGCATCTTGGAAACACAAACAAATCTGCAGCCATACTAATGAGGTGGGCGAGGTAGCAAAAATATAACACCACAACACTCGACCTTTTCACACTAAAGAATATGTATCACAATATGTCGTTTTTATAGACTTCATATGTTGAAACAGCCAAGAAAGCACTATAGCAGTGTCACATTTCATAAAATACTATCAAAAACTAAAAATACAATGATTTTTATGCAGTAAGAGCCTCTACTGTTCTGGGAAGGCTTTACACCAAATGTTAGAACATTGCAGTGAGGATTTGATTGCTTTCTGGCACAAAAGCATTAGTGATTACTGATGTTGGATGATATTATTATTAGGTCTGTTCTGGATCACAAACACCACTCCAACTCATCCTAAAGGTACTGGATGGAGCACCATCACTCCCAGTTTCACCGCTCCACAGCCCAGCGCTGGGTGGCGTTATACCCCTCTGGAATCAGTTATAAGGTAGGGAGGATGATATGGGAAAAATATAACATCACGATAGTTCAAGACATTTTCCCGATACATGATATGTATTATGATTATGATATTTCAGAGATTTGAAACAGACAAAAAAGCACCAGTACCACAGTTAATCAAATACAATAAAAAAACTAAGAGTGTAATGAATGTTTTTCAACATTTTGCATCAAATTCAGTTAAACAGGACTAATTCTGCTCTCTTTGTAATGAAACATGCAGCTGTTCAGTGTTCTATAAGTACTGACAATCTCTACGGGTATAAAACTGAAGCCCAAACTTGACCCATACATGCGATTTTGAGGCCTGACCAGGTACGAGTGGTACTGCTGGAACTGAAACCCAATCCTGAGTGTACTAACAGAAATACATCATCACAGACACAGACCGTGAGTGGACAGCTTACATTAAACCATTTTGTAATGTCAAACTTCCTTCGATCCTTCTGTTCAGCAATATTTACAGCATGCCAGTACTTTACAAAATGCATGTTATTCCACTAGATTAGATTTCACGCTGTTTACAAACTTAACTCTGCATTCAGGGGACTGAATAATATTCAGACACTAGCTGATTTTGCTTAGTGTCTCTTTTATTAGGCTTTTTAAATGTCAGCGCATGAAATCAGTACTCTGGTTTTTAGTGTGAGGTGGTTGTATTGGTCAATAATGCTGTTACCATTGTTACTGTAAAGTAGTG